TAGCAGAGAAAGTGGGTCACTAGGGGGTGGCCTTAGGGATTCTCCTCGTTAGCTTCAACTTTCAGATTGACACAGGCCAGAGTTAGCAGAGGGAATCTGGGAGATTGCCTCTGCCAGATTGGTTCATGTCGTATCTGTACGATATTTTCTTCTTTTCATTTATTTATTTTATTTCATTTTACATTCCGATCACAGTTCTCCCTCCCACTCCTCCTCCCAGCTCCCTTCCTTTCCTCCCCCAGCCTACCCTCATTCAGTTCTCCTCACGGGTAAGGGCTCCCATGGGGAGTCGTCAAAGCCTGGCCCATTAATTTGAGGCAGGACCAAGCCGCTGCCCCTGCATTAAGACTGAGCATGTGTATGAGGGGCCCTACCCACCATGGGCATCACCCTCTCTGGTTAGTGAGCCCTGTGATTCATAAGAAAGCTAGCCCAGCATTAGAGTGAAGGCATGCCCATCATCAGGGTTCCTCCATGGTTTCTGCCTCAAGCTCCTGTCTTGCGTTTCTGCCTTGGCTTCCTTTGAATACAGTCTATCACCTGTAACCTGAAATAATCGCAAGTTGGTGTTGTCATGGTGTTTTTTGAAGCAACAGAAACCACGCTAGGACAGGAGCTACAGCTGGTCCCCATTTTTCTAAAGACCTCTGTTCTCTGCTTCTTGACCTGGTGAGATGCAAACTAAGAGTGGTGAGACACTACCGTTACCACGGAGCCGCTCCCAGACCCTTGCTGTCATATCTGACTATTTCTTCTCAAACCATGAACCAAAATTAACTTTTTCTCCCTCAAACTGCCTTGCCATGGATTTGGTCATAGCATCACTAAATTAATCAGGTTTGATTAATAGAGGTAGTGGAACCCCAGTTAGTGAAGCTGTTTCTATTCTTAAAATGAAACTTATCTGATAATAGCCACTAAGGTGAAAGTTAGAGTAAGTCACTTTTAATACCTATATAAAAACATTATTGAGGGTTGGAGGTACAGCTTAATTGTAAAGCACTTGCTGCCCAGTCTATATGAGGCCCTGAGTTCAATCCAAGTTCCCCAAGCACAAAGAGGAAATTGTTGGCTACAGTTCAAAAGTACATAGAGTTGGTTGTCAGAATGTAAATAAAAGGACAGAAATTTAGTCTTTATATGGGGCATATAATTAGCTCAAAAGCAATGGATATTTCTCAATGCACCACAGTGGACATGCAATGAAAGTCTTATGCCTTATGTTTGTTTATTGTTTTCAGGAAAGTTAAATGGGAATTTGAAGAAAGAAAGATTGAAAGAAAGAAAGAAAGAAAGAAAGAAAGGAGGAAGAGAGAGAAAGGAAGGAGAGAGAGAGAGAGAGAGAGAGAGAGAGAGAGAGAGAGAGAGGAGAGGGATGGGGGGAGAGGAGAGGAGAGGAGAAAAGAGGAGACTTGGAATGACAATATATTTATATTTCCTGGGTAGAAATTAGAAGCACAGGGATCTAATTCCTTTGGCAGCCTATGAACCCTGCCATCATTCCATCTCATCTTCAGTTACCTTCACATCCACTGAGATCCAAGCCATCTGAAAATCCTCAGTCACATAGGTCTTCCTTAAGTAATTCTCATGGGAGCCAAGGTTTGTGAGATCATCCTAATAACAGGAATCCTGGCTCTAAGAAATCCTGGGGTGATACCTTATGAAAAAGATCCTCTTTTGGCAGACTGAAGGCCGTCTTTCTCCACCACGGACCTTGATTTCAGGGGTGGTTCCCCCTGAATGAGCTCCAGGAACAGATGCAAATTTCATCCCATGCTACCACTGTGGTGGCCTGGCAATTGAGTTAACAACTTAAATAGTATGCCTTACCCACGAGCCAGGCCAGCTGGTCTGTTTTACTTGTTGGGACTATGCCTCATAAATGTGCTTGCATTTTAATTTCTGTTGTGTTGCAATCCACCCTTTTGTTGTTGTAGAATATTCAGGAACAGAGGAGGTTAATCACTCTTCATGATATGACATCTGTTTGAGATGAGGATGGTCTCAGATCCTAACTACGTTATCCTGAGGGTAGCCCCACACTGTGCCCTGTCCCTCTTTTGCAGGGCTTTCCCTTCAGAGTGGTACACAACTTAAAGAGAAAAGGCCTGCCACCATGATTCGTAATTTAACAAACCAGTAAAAGGTAGCTATACTTAACTAAAAGTGACAAGCAAAGTAATACCCATCTCTGGTCTGAAGACTGATATTCCAGTTGACTAGAGCAAAGCAAGTGGGGAACATATGCATCTATTTTAAATTTACTCACAGAGCATAACGAAGCCAGCCTTCAGCTAAATTAAAAAGAAAACCACAACGGGCTGGGTTTCTACTGCACTTCTTGGGCTATCTTTTTGAGTCAAAGCATGGGAAGTATCAAGTCTACAGATCAATCTTGGATGCAAGGACAAAGACAGCATATTCTTTGTAACTCTTTCAGGACAAAGTGTACCTGCTCAGAGAGAAACTGCTTGCAGCAGCTCTCATAAATAGAAATGTAACCCCCAGTTAGTTATCTTTTTACCTTCTCAACACAATGACTGTGCTAAAGCTAAAATCTAAAGAAACAGAAGTAACTGTTTGTGAAGGGCAGAGCACAAACCTGAGAGTTTATGTGCTTAGCATCATTTAATTCACCCCAAAAGACTCTGATCTGGGTGGTCACACAGAATGAGCATATAGAAAATGACATTGAGACTCAGGAAAGTCAAAGGCACCTGCCTACAGCCATACCGTAATAATCAGTACAAGAATCAAATCAGCTTTGTATGATGGTGCACTCAGAGGCACCCCATGTGTCAGGAATTAGCATCATATCTCACTTGAGTAAGAGATGTTGAAAGCACAGCAATGAGAGTTGAGGAAACGTCTCTTGCATGGCTGGGAACAAGGAAACTTTCATGCTTTGGAGGTACTGGTAAGAGCTGGAACCACTCCTCTTCATGGCTGCTCCAAGCCACTAGAGTACAGTTAGTGACCCCACAGGACTCTATGCAGCCCCAAGAAAAATAATGGAAAATGAAAGAAGCCTTAAGAGCCCTGATAAAGCCCTAGTGTAATTCAGATCCACTAGTTATCCTCAAAAGGAAAACTGAAGAAGCCAGACACAAAGGGCTACTGTGGTCTTCCATCTCGATGACCTGGAAGAAAATAAAACTACTGTGTATGTCTAACACACCAATTAGTGGTGTGGATGCTGAAATGCGTTGACTGTAAAAGGGCTTGAGACAAGATGCACTTTTAAGGTATGAAAGAAATTTTTTCTTTCCTAATTATGGTAGACATCACATTACTATCCATTTGTCAAAATCCATTGAATTATACATCAAAACCAGGCACATTTTACAGATATAAATTATATATCAGTAACCGTTATTTAAGTATGTATGCATAGAGGAAGTTGAAATGACAGCTTAATCAATAAGTGCTTGCCATGCTAGGATGAGAACTTCAGTTTGATTCCTAGCACTCATGTAAAAAGGTAAGTGTGGTGGGGTACCCTCGTAACCCCATAACTGAAGAGGCAGAGACAGGAAGATCCCTGGGCCTCCCTGGACAGCCAGCCTAGCCTCATAAGCAAGCCCCAGTACAGAGGGAGACCCTGTATCAAACAACAAAGAGGAAAGACAGCTCCTGATCAATAACACCCAAAGACCTCTAGCCTCCAAGTGTACGTGCATGCCCATCTACGTGTGTGCAAGTACCTACACACACAAGGACATCTAAGATAAAATTTCCAAAGGTCACATATATATATATATATACATATACAAACACACACACACACACACAAATATGTGAGTCAAGCCGACAATAGTTGATAAATCGTGAGCTAATTTTTACTATTGTAGAACGGCACTGCATGAACCCCTGAGTTCAAACCCCTCCATCATCCAGCCTTCCCTGCAGAGAGATTTTCTGCCAGCAGCCATTGCAAGCTGACATGTCATGGCCAGCAGGAAGGAGGGTCTGAAGGGAATTTTCAGGCTAACACTTCTGTAGCAGTTTGAATGAGAAGCTGATTGCTAGGGTTACCTTGGCTTCCTGCCTCCTTTCCAGAATTTTCAGAGGTCATTCCGTGTACTTAATAGAAACACTCATCTGGAAAATTGCCTTAAGCCAGATTAAATATAATGTCACTGTTTTAAACCTGTATTTCAGATAGCATGTACATCTTTATCTTCATATCCTGTTGCAATGTGAAGGCCATACTGAGCCCTGAACAGATAGGGGAGAAAATCTTGCTAAAAATACCAAATAGTATAATTTCTGATTGCTTAAAATAGCTTGGCATGTATTTAAAATGAGAATTTGGTAAGAATAAATAGCCTAGTTTCTCTATCCTTCCACTTGGGTTACTGTTCTCATACACATCTTTGGTAAAGGTTTCTCTTTCTAATGAAAGCCTCTTAGTCCCTTTGTTTTCTATCCAACACCAACTATTGGAGAGGGATCTGGAGGTTTTTAGATCCACTGTTAGAAGCATAATTGTGAAAGGAACATAAGTCACACAAATATAGTCTAGCATTGAAAATAACTGGTCAGTCTTGCAAATGAATAAGCCTATAAGGTTATATCCCTGAAGATCATGGGGCAGACCCAGATGTTAAGAGCTGCCAGAAAGAATGGGTTTCAGCTGAGCATTGGGGGTGCATGCCTTTAATCCCAGCACTGGGGAGGCAGAGGCAGGCAGATCTCTGTTTGAGGCCAGCCTGGTCTACAAAGCAAGTTCCAGGACAGTCTCCAAAACAATACAAAGAAACCCTGTCTCAAACAAACAAACAAAAAAACAATGGGTTTCAAAGGGAAATGGATAATAAAGAATCATCCACTTTTGGCTCTTCTGAAAGTCATTGATACTTTCTGTTAGCATGTGCACAGATGTTTGGGAGATATACATTGTCTGTACCTCAGAGCAGGATGTGGTCACTGCATTAAATTGGGTGTTTGTGTGTCTTTTTAAAATTAAAAACAGTAAATAAAACAGAAGTCTTTGGTTCAATGCACACTTTAATCATTTATTTAAAAAATTGGAATACAGCATTTAAAAATGAGGATTTGAACATCGATGGAAACTAGCCAAGACCTTATGATAGACTCATCTGAAGCAACTGGAACATCTGCACCCACCAGGCTCTCAGCCTTGGTACTGATTAACCAGATACTTCAAAGAGCTTTTCTATATTCCTTTCTGGAAAAAAACATTCGCTGTCTTATAAATTCCAGGCTTAAACATAGGAATGACATGAAACAAGCGGTACAACTTACTCCAAGATCTTTATTATACAACTATAAATGCTACCATTTTGTCACTGCCAACTGAAGTTTTTTACAGTCTTCACGTCATATAAACCAAAATTGAATAACAAGACAAAAGAAAGTTAATTTTATCTTATATCTGTCTCATAGAAAACTAGTTAACCTTTAAGAAAAACACATAAGCAGTAGATAAAGGCAATTGGTTGCTAAGTCCACTTCTAGTATTATGGCTGCCTTGGATACTGAATTGTGAGGTAAAGGGTTCTACTGAGTTATGTACCTAAAGAATGAGTGAAAACAAAAGTCAAGTATGTCCTTTGAAACCCCTCTAGGATTGATTTTCAGTATAACTCAATGTGAAAAAGGTTTTTTTTTTCTCCAGAAAACTCAAAATGTCTAACAGATATCATTTAAGATGCCAAATTTACCAGCCCAGGACGCACAAAGCAGGTTGCAGAGAGCTCGTGAAAAAACAAAGGTGGATATTTGGCCCCTTATTCACCTTTTGATGTTAATCTACCGAATTAATCCCCAGTTTTCTTCCCCCATGGACAAGTCTATGGGCTACATGGTCCATACTGATTGCTATGCAAATTTTCCTAGACAAAGAATCCCCATATCGAATCCCCCTAAGTTTCTTAATTTCCAGATTTCACCTCACTAGAGACTTCATTAGACTTTTAGTACCCCTAACCTCTGAAAGCTTCACCTAGAAGGACCTTATTTCAGTCATTAAATCCATCCAAAGAGAATGATGGTTCCCAAGAGAAATCAAATTGAGAGAAATATCCTACATCTCTATCGTGCTAGAACTATATCTCTAATAAGCATCACACCTAAAGAAACACACTCCTCGATTTCCCTGCAGATGTCTAAATACATGGAGAAGGGCATTTGCAACCAATGTTTCATCTCTCTTTCACCTGCCTGGGCTCCCGTGAGAAGACAAGATCATAATTCAGAAGATAACCATCATTGTAGACATAAAGTTTTTGGTCAAAGGGATGATAATTAATGCTCTGAATTCTTTCCTGCATCTTTCTCATTGGGATGGATAGATGCCCTTCCCTCCTGGTGTTTGTGTCATAGTAGTAAAATATCTCTTCCATTTTGGTGTTCAAAGTACGGGTAGCATAGAGAACGCCACATACCATGAAAGCATTAGAAACCGATGGTTTGTACTGCTTGGTAACCCACGTGTCTACCACCTCAAGAGAGGTGTCATTCAGTTTACTAATCACTATGTTACCAGTGCTGGCCTCAGTTGCATAAATCACCCACAGTGCTTGCTCGTCCACATCGAAGTCAATGTCTTGCCAATTCACATTAGCATATGAGAAGCGGTTATTATAGGCAGCCATAGGAAGAGGTTGATTCACAGTAACTTGATTGGTAGTCAGGTTAATTTTGGCAATGTTCCTCCCATTGTACCAATTCACATACAGGTTGTTGTTGTATGCTACTGTACCACCCCCTTGGCCATAGCGAATCTGATATTCTTGAGCATGTGAATAGATTAACAAATTATCCAGTGAGTTATAAAGTCTGTAATATTGTAGAACCCTTGCATCTGAATTCAGAGGTGCCACCCAGTACAGAGTTCTCTCTGGATGCTGAGGAGAGTATTCGCGACCCCAGGCACCATATTTATAACTAAACCCTAGCCAGTTGAGCTGAACCACAGATGGAGCACTGATGTTCACCACGCCGCCATGACTACAGCTTCCTACAAAAGAAGAAAGAAGACATTCTCAGAGAAAGTGTATGCTTAAACAATTTAACATCCTTAGAGCCAAAATCGACCCTCAACAATTTCCCTGCCATGGTCAATCACAATGGTAGCTCTGGAGGAGGAGTCACCCTCTGCTTCCATCTTGGTGTAAGCCCACTGCCAGATCTAGAGCACTGCCTCATGTTCTCATCAGCAGGTTTTCAAGTTGGAAAACAGATGTAATATAACTATATAAAGCCGCCTTTTAAACTTTGAGAACCCAGAAAGAAAGGGGGAAAGTTGTTGTTTCCTATATTTTCTTCTCCCAGAAAGCATTTTGCAAGTATCTTAACTTTTTGTAGCAAAACTGAGAAAATAATACCATTTTAGAAACATGTCCTTTCCTCATAAAGCCAAAGATGCTACTTACTAGGGTCAGCTCTAGGAAAAACTATGATTAATGAAAGATAGACCCGGGGGACTGTCCTTGCCTTCCCTGGGACCCCAAGTGTGTATCCTCAGCAGATACCAATGTTGCTCTGAGTTGATCTCAGAATGGAAGTTATAAAGACAGTATTTCATAGGTCAAGGCAGAGTCCTTTAATGGTAGGATTCTCAAGCTCGCCAACCTTGAGGAACTAGAGTCATTTTGCCATGAACTTGCCTAATCTGTGCCCAGAGAACACCCCTGCACATAAATCACTTGGTGACCATCTTGCCTCAGAGAGATGAGTCCTGTTCTTCATAATCCATTTGCTGCTGCACCATAGAGTGGCAGGCAAACTTTTCATCCTTCCCATTCTGACACAGTCATTGTCAAAATGTGTACCATCAGGTGGGACCAGATGCACTGATCCATTGACTCTTCATTCCAGGTAACCCATGGATAAATTACTTGGGCTGGGCAACTGACCCTTTGCTTGTATACCCTCTGAAATGTCTGCCAACCAAAAGGGTTTGTGAGCCATAAAAAAAATAAAATTCCTCCAGCATTTTTACAACATCTATCCAAAGAACTGAACATATTGTCTCTCATATTACAGCAAATATCATCCTTAAAAAACTAATAAGCTACTTTCTTGGATAACAAAGAAAAATTCAACTTCAAGTAAATTTGAGGTTAGTTTACTTTGTTTACTACTTGGATCATGGAAGGGAGAGAGTGAGGGAAGGAAAGAGGGAGGGAAGGAGGAGAGGGAGGAAAGGAAGGAGGGAGGGAGGAAAGGAAGGAGGGAGGGAGGAAAGGAAGGAGGAGGAAAAGAGGGACAGAAGGAGGGAGGAAAGAAAGGAGGTAAGCAAAGGAGGGGGGAAAGGAAGAGGCAGTACATGAACGTTATCTCTGGCTCTGAGTGCCTGGAAGGAATCAAGGAGTCATGGAGGGCACAAGTGTGCACTGGAGCCCAAAGCAGAGCCTCACAGAACCGTCTGAGATTAGCTCTGGGAAGTAAGGAGAGCCAAGTGACTGCCTGCGCCCCTCCTTGTTAAATGCTTCTCTCTCTCCCTTCCTTACTCAAGGACTTCTGGGGAGTGAAACCATTACTAGAAATCCTGCTTTTATTTTTCCAATCTGCTGGGACTTTTCAGTCCCCGAATTAAATATGTGCTCTTTAAATGCTCTCATAAATCCACAGTTGGTGGGAAAGTCAGCCAACCTTACAACAGGTAAAGAAATAAAACCACACTGTACCCAACCTCAAATAATTTTGCATATCATTAAACAGAACGCAGTCACAGGTTTATTTTAATAATGCATGCACCATTTCATAAATAAAAAAGGTAACGTGTGTTCAGCCAAGAGACTGCTCTCTGCTAAGGAAATAATAAATAAAATTATAAATTATTATTTCTTCCCATAAAAGTGATCTCTCAGATGAATGCTTGTTTGCCTTTGTTTATGAAACAATGCATGAATTATTAAAATAAAGTTAGCAGTATGTTCAGTTTAATGATAACAAAAACTGCTCCAGTTTCCATATGCCAAAACTGGATTTTCTGGTTAAAATACCTAGCAGAGAGCTTATTTATGCAAGTACATTTCACTGTGAGGAAATGAAAGTCACCTCCCTGCTTTCAGGTTGGAAGACTCAAGGGTTGCTTGCTACATTGAACGTGACTTTCCTGGAAAGAAAATATCCCAAACCAACAGTAACATAATATTTCAGAAAAGCTGGTGATGCATATAACTTATCCTCATGTTAACAAGGGGTTAAAGATAGTCTGTTCTGTCGCAGATGTGAAATCTTTAGACATAAAGGAACCAACATATAGGATTAATACTGCTAACATTGCAGTAATGGTCCCATCATCAAAACAATAATTCTACTTCCAATATAGTACTAGTAATGTTCCTACTGATAATAACTAAGGTTTATTATTTCTTAAGCAGACCAGAAATTTATACTGGGCCTGGTATAAGTATTAAAACCAAATGACACTCTAATTTCTTCTCCTACCTCCCAATCACTTCTAAATACTCTCCAATCCATTTTTGTTACTTTCCTTTTACCTTCTACCTCCTTTGGATATTTTTAGCACTCTGGATCTGGTTAAAAGGAAGTAGGAATAGGGACCAAAAAAAAAGCATTTTGTCAATACTGCTGGCTGTGGCTACAGTACAGTAGTGGCGAGTGACAAGTCAGGGAAAAGGGGCTGTGTTTGGGTGGTGGGCTTCTCCAATGGTTGGAATAAAAGCAACAAGGAAACTATCCAAACTGATAGCCCGTGCCCCCTGCTCAACAGAGTGCCCTCTCCTCCCATCCCTTTTACAGGAATCTTTCACTCACCCATCACTATTTCACACCCTCCCTAGCCCCTGCCTTCATGTCAAGACCTTAAGTATATTCTATTCCCTTTCTTGTCATTTCCCATGCCAACGTCACCAGGACCCTTTGGCAACAAGCAATTGTCCAGTCCATAATCCAAGAACTGCCAAGGGCCAGTGAATCATTTTACATGTGCACCAAATTTTCAGGAACCAGCGTGTCCTTCCAGCAACTCTACAAGTGAGGAGGCAAAGATCACTGAGAGTTAATCAGCCAGTTGCCTTGTTTGAACTGCCTTCCCATTCTAGAAGTCACAGGGTCACCCCCTTAGTTAGAGCAGCTACAGACACACACCAGCCTGGTACAGAGAAGGTGTTACAGTCCAAATCCTGATTCTACTCTTTTGTTACTGTATATCATGGTGCATGTTGCAAGTTTCCTTATGTTAAATAAACAACGCCTAAACCACAGGAGTGTTGAAAAGAACAGCGATAAGGCTTGCAAATACAACTCAATCGCTAGTAACCACCATCATTATAATCAGATCATACCAGTTCCGCTTTACATAGCTGTTTTTTGGAAGATGGCTTATGGGTATTTCTTCACCCATTCTGGTAGTCTCTAGCAATCTAGCAAACAGAGGATGACCACACAAGGGAATAGGAATAAAAGACTTAGCAAATCATTAAACCCAACCTAATTTTACAAAACACTGGAGATCCACCCTGCTACACATATGATTTATTTATTTTACAGAATGAGGAGCAGGGAATCCTCTATGCAAAGGTACTTTCTTCACTATGCAATCCATTAGCTGGTATTCTCATAGTCCTGAGCCTTGAAACATGGCTATGTAAACTTTTTAAGCTAATAGAGTGGATTTTTAAAGCCAAACATGGTATGCCTGCAGAGAACGCTTAATTATGGGTCTGTCAGTGCAGATTCTTGCCTGGACAGCTAAGCTGTCTGTGTACTACATCTAGAGAAAATACAATTAACTTGTAAGAACTAGGCAATTAAGCCAGGTGGTAGTGGCTCATACTTTTTGGCCGACTACTTAGAGCATTAGGATATAGGCTCGGCATGAATGTCAGACCATCCTGAACTACAGAGTGAAATCTTGTCTCCAAAAAATCCAAAACAATCCAAGAATTAGGCAAGCAAAATGATTATAATTGTTAGAAAATTGATAAGTTGATTCTGAGTCATTGGTTGTGCATCTCTAAGCTTATGATTTTATCATGTCACCCCATGTCGTTTATGTCCCATTCTAACACCCACCAAATACTGAATACCTTCTATGTACCTGCAAAGCCTAACTTCCCCAAACAAAACAGTGACCCCTGGGAATTCTCATCATGTGTTTTCCAGTAGGCTGTTGCCATTTAGATGGAGAGAAGAAAAATAGACTGAAGTCAATTGTTTGAGGGGGAAATGTTAATAAACAGAAGATCAATTATTTTAAGTTAGAAAGTTCTGTAAAATGAAGTAGGAAAAGATTTTTGCAGCAATGTACATACACACATTCGTGCACACATACACATATTATATTGCATTTTATTAAAAACAAAACACATTGGGTCTAAGTTCAAGCTGACCACTAGGTTAGCAAAGTACAACTGCCACGGTGGAGCCCAAAGAGTGCAGAATTATTTTAGAGCTGGAGCTCAAATATGGTCTCTTTTTTTTGGTTCTGTGCAACTCCACAGTGAAAAAAAGGCAGACAGGCCAGATTTTAAAGTCCCATAATAGTGAAGAACTTTAATTAAAGTCTCCACAGGCTCACAAGTTTGTGGTGCCTGGGGATTTTCCAATTCTGCATTATCAACCAATCCAAACATAAAGAGAGCAAGTGAAAGAAATTGATTTAAAAACATGACAAAAATCAGTTTAATATAAACATCATAAATATAAAATGAACAAAGCTGGAGGAGGGCCAAGTGGTTTGGCGGGGATCCAGGCGCAGCCAAGGTTGTGAGAAAGTGAGTGGAAGTCTGAGCTGGGTTTGCTTAAGCCGCACAGCTGGGCTGAGATGGCTCACAGAAGTCTAAGTGTGAAGGCCTAAGGCAAAGTCTTTTAATATTTCTAAAAATAACTCAAACGGCTCGTTTGCTTTCTTTCCTAAATACTGAGCAACGTGTTTCCCTCCCCCACCATCACCCTTAGGTGATTGCCACCTGACACTCATGTTATTAGGGAGTCCTGAGATGACCAGAGATCACAGACACTTGACAACATAAACTGTGTCACTGAGAGCTGGTGTGCCTTCAAACAAAGGAACATCCTCCAGACTCAAGCCCATCCATTGAAATGGCTGCTTGCTCATCCTTGCCAGGCTTATGTCACTGCTCTGACTCTTTCCTGGAAAGACTGCCATGGTCCATCAGAACTAGCTCCCAGCTTTGGAGTGATTATAACACTTTCCAAACCAATTTGGCTTTACTCTGTCTCTGAAGACAGACCATGATCCTTACCCTAAACACCCTCTGTAAGTCACATTAGAACACACCCCTGACCACAACTGGAGGGCACATCTCCTGAATAGGACCAAGAGGCACATAATTACAATCCTAGCCAGTTGAATGAAGCCTTAAAGAAGTCAGCTATATGGGCAAGATCCAGAAATCTACAGTCCAAAGAAAAAGACTGATGCAACTTGGAATTTGTTAAAAAAACAAAACAAAACAAAGGTTTCACAATCTGATGACAAGCCATAGTTTCCATTGAGGCCCAGACGCTCAAGACCATGAGCCACGAGAGACGCTCCCTTGCTATGGAATCTCTGAAGGATGGGGCTGAGTTCTGTTGACTGAGAGGCCGGAGGGAGGTACATGAGTGCAGCAGGATTTAGCCCGATCTTTGTTCACAGCCAGGCTTTCACTTCAATTATCGTGATTACTAATAATATCCATTTCTGGTGTATGGGTGCTGATTACAGAGCCCCGAGCTTCCCAAGCTCTGCCTCATTAATCCCCATAGCAACCCTATAAGGTGAGCACAATTATTCTCCCATTTTACAAGTAAGATGACGGATCTTTTCTCTGCAGGCACATGGCTGGCAAAGTCCGGGATTCCAAAGCTATTCTCTCCACTGTTTCCATCCGTGGATGGATTTAAGTACCTGTCTCTCCTTCCCCCAGCATACACTGTTCTGTAGTTAACCTGGGGGAGAGGGAGATGCCTCCTGTCCTGCTGGATGGGTAGCAAGGCATGTCCAGGGTATGTGTTGCCCCTGTCCCTTTAATTCTCAGTGAGTCCCAGGACTCAGATTGCAGCCTGTACCCAGAGTGCACTTCAGGGAGGACTAAATGTAAAGTGCAGAGGAGTGTAGAAGAGAGGGCAGGAAGAAGGGATGGCAGAAAAACAGAGGCACACAAACACCCAGCCTGTAACATAAATGAGCCGGTCAGCACTTTCCATCTACCAGAAGGCAATGTCACATAAAGATCCCATATGCTCTGCCCTCCCTGGTACCAAAGCTCCTCTCCCCTTCAGACAGGCTTTTCCTGCTAGGGAAATACAAAAGGAATGTGAGCAATGGTGGATTTTGTTTTAGAAAACTTCACTGTGCTTTTTTCTCTGTGAACCCCAGCATAGTAATAATAGAACTCGTTGAAGGTGGGAAGATTTCAAATGTGGAAGAATAAACCAGAACTGCAAAAAGGCCAGGATTCCTCCATCCCCACAGTTTCAAATCCTTTCCCCACCCAGCTCAAGGTTCCTTATGAGGTCTCATGCAAGTGGCAAAAAAAAAAAAGTGCAAGTATAGCAGGCTTACCAGGAGCAGGCGGAGGGGGCGTGGCAGGCACCAGCTCACTTTTAGAGGCCTCGCATTCTTTCAGCTTGTTCTTCAGAGCCAAGATTTGCCGGCGAATGCTAAGGACATTATTTTGGTCTAGTGTCTCCAGCTTCTCTACCAGGAGAGTCATATTCCTTATCTAAGGAAATAAAAAATTCAGAGTGACTTTATATTATTGTGCAATTTCTTTCATAAACATTCTGGGGCTGAGTTTGTCATTTAGTGAAACATTGCCACAGAATACACCAGAGATTGGTCTGGATGGTTTCATTTGGAAGAATACATTTTATGGTTTAGACTGAATGCCTGTCACAGCTCAGGCAATGTGTGTGACATGAAGAAAATGGCAAAGATTTTAACAGCTTTAATAATAGAGTAAGTCTCACTCTAGGCACTCACAAATGTCCATTAAGGTTCATTTCTAATAACCTTCCCCTATAAACTCGTGTTTACTCATGTTGTATTATAATTAAGTTTCTAATGAATGGTGAGGGCTAGAGAAAATATAAATTCTAAAATATGTAACTAGAATTCTCAATTATAGCCATGTCAAGACCGCGCTGGTAAATTCTTGTTGGTACAAATTGCCCAACCATAACATTAATATGGTAATCTTATCCACAGATCTTTAAAGACTTTGCTAAAACATACTCCCAAGAAATCTATTTTTTCCTTAATACTTGCATGTTCTTAGTTTTTCAGTTTACTTTTTGAGAATTTTACACAGTATATTTTTATCATATTCTTTTCTACCCAGGTCTTCCCTCTCCCCATCCATTCAACTTCATGCTCTTTCTCTCTCTTAAAGAACAAAAACAAAAAAAACAACTAAAAACACAGAGTTCTGAGCTGTGGTTGATGTCATCCAATTAAAGAAAACTAATTTTCCCTCTCTCAGCAGCTATCACTTACAAATAGCTTCTTGGCCAGAGGTGGACATTATACCCACTCCCCCGCCTTCATACTCAGAATTTTAAAATTCATTTATTTTTGGCTATTTGCATTGGTGTTTTGCCAGCATGTCTCTATGAGTTATAGACAGTTTTAAGCAGCCATGTGGGTGCTGGGAATTGAACCCGGGTCATACGGAAGGACAGTCAGTGCTCTTAGCCACTGAACCATCTCTCCATCCCTTCATGCTCGGATTTTCAAGGGGCTTTAGATTGTGCAGGTCGTATGTACCTATGTCGATTTCTGTGTGCTTGTGTATGTATCTGCCCTGCTGTATCTGGAAAATTCTATTTCCTTAAAATAGTCCACCACCTCTGACTCTTACAAACTTTCCACTCCCTCTTTCTCCACAGGTCCCTGGGCAGTGAGGGCAGCGGTGTGATGAACACATCCCACTCAGACATAAACACCCCAATGTCTTTCAATTTCTGCACACTGTCCAGCTGTCAGTCTCTGTGTTCATGCCCATCTATTTCGAGGGGATGCTTCTCTGCAGAGTGTTGAGTGGTGCACTGATCTATGGATGTAGCAATATGTCATCGGGAGTTGTTTTATTGCTGTGTTGGTCATATCCCCATCCCAGATTTCAATCTGTACTACAGGGCCATAGTAATAAAAAAACCAGCATGACATTGGCATAAAAACAGACATATTGATCAGTGTAATAGAATTGGAGACAAATACAACTCCACACAACTACAGGCAACTAATTTTTTGACAAAAAGAAAAAAAAAGCAGAAAACACACACTGAAGGAAAGATAACATTTTCAACCAAACGTGCTGGTCAAACTATGTGGAAGACCTAAAATTTAATCATATCTATCACCCTGTACAAAACAATTCCAAACAGATCTATGTAAGGTCAGATACACACGAAATTTAAGTATGTAGAGAATAACTCTAAGAGAAAGATGGGGTCATTCAAAAGGGAATATATCCACATCAGGTAAACTGAATTCTAGCTTCCTGAGGATAAATCCAAGACAGACAAGATACCTGGTTTAACATGGCCAATTCAGATTTATACCCTCACTTCCTAAAGAACAGAAAGGAGATTTAGGTCTGGGGCAGAATTCTTCGTTTCCAACATCTGCTTCTCAGTCAACATGTTCCCAACACGCTTAACTTATTATACAAGTATAGGCATTCATCCAAAACAGAACACAGATTGCCTCATGGTCCTGAGACAGTAGCAAAATTAGGGTTGAGGAAAGAGGATCCCATCCAGGTGATAGCACTTGTTCAGTCACTGAATGAAACACAATATTGATTTACTAAATGAGTCATTCCTTACCTCCACTTCCAGCTTCTCAATAATGTCTGTGCTTCCAACGAAATTCTCCCTCAGCTTCATGACCAGCTTATGCATCTCATTCACTTCTAGCTTGATGAGCTCAAAGTCCAGTTCTGTGTAAGAAATACTGTCCTTCTCCATGACCTCTACTCGGACAGTCAGGTTCTGGAGCTTCTTCTCATACACACTGATTAGCTTGACATACTCCTTCACCTGGAGGAGAAGCAAAAAGCTTACATCAACTCACAAGATGACATCAAATAGACTTCCTCCACTACAATTACTTGAAGATTATTTGGTCCTTGTCATCATTTGCAAAGGAGCATTTCAAAACATAGCTACCCTTTTTTATCCACTAAAAGTAGCATATTACTGTGGCTTTTGGTCACATTTACCTACACTGAAAATAATCTGTATGTTTATTATAATGTCCTTTTTCAAGTCTGAGGATGCTAGCTCATTGAATTGAACTGCTTGGGATCATCTCTCTTCTCTGGTCATTTGCTCTAAATCAAGATTTCTTGACCTCAGTGCTATTGACATTTTAAGTAGGTCTCTTTCTTGTGTGTTGGGGTAGGGAGGGCAGCTATATAGTGAATTGTAGGATCTTCAGTTGCTCCCATTTATGACAGCCAAAAATGTCTCAAGACATTACTAAATGTTCTCTGGGGACAAAACACTACCTCTACCATCATTTTGTTTAGAGCCATTACTCTCTCAAAGTCTCAGTATTTTCTAGAAGAGGGGACATCTCCACTGAGTAGAATCCTCTCCTTGGGAATCATGTGCCAAGAATTCTGAGCCCCTCTGCGTTTTACAAAGAAGCACAATGACCCAACGTACTATACAGTGTAGGCACAACTGTAATGTGCACATTTCATTAAGTGAGTTCACATTTGTTCCATGAACTGATTATTGCAATCAGACCTTTAAATTACACATTTGTTGCATATATTTGAATGTCTGATCATTAAGTTAAAATACTTCCAAAAATCCCCTCGTTGGTTGAGTGTATAATTGGAACCTCCGAAAGGATATTTCAATAAACAGTCGGTGACACATTTTTGTATCTGATCTCTAAAAGAAATGTCACGGCTTTTTCAAAGACCTGCTCATTAAAAAGTTGCTGCTCTCAGTTTCTTTCTCAAATGTGAGCCTAAGTAATACTTCTCCCCAAACTGCACTAATGGCAAGTGTGTGGATGAATTCAGACAGATGTTGACCTGTGGTCTTTGCAATGACAAAGCCTGTCCTAATGCCTGTCATGGGAGCCCTTCCACTTAACCCCATCATGCAAATTAGAATAGACTCATGGGCCCCAGACCTTCAGAACTAGGGCCTCAGGAGAAGAGGGTTCTAACGAGCATGGGAACTGCTGCCCTTGGCACCATTACTGTATCTCCTCAGGCAAGCGACGTTCACTGCCATCAGATGCCCCATTACTTGGAGGCTGATTGAAGATCATTATATTTTGGTGCATACAGATTAAAAAAAGAGTGGGGGTACATTTAACAAGCCCCTACCCCTCAAAAAAAGAACATAGACATAAGGTGTTCAGGTTCCGATTTCCTTTTTAAAAAATTGGTCATAAAGCCTTGCCTCTGGTGAAAGCATAACAATAATGCACCAATCCATTACAGAAATAGAAGTCTGAGAAATGAGTGTGCTTGTTGGCATTTGGCCTTGCCAGCTCTGGGAACAAATGAAAAACCCTCAGCTTTCCTGGAACACTTTGGTGGCACGTTAAAGCTACCATTCTGTGCAAATGAGTGATGCAACTGTCATCTCTGCTAAATAAAATGAGGTTCCCCCTGATTATCACAGAAAACCAAGGCATGGCCTGGAGTTTGTGACCTGTGAGAATATGTGCTGGGTCTGCCCCAATTTCAGCAACAAAACAAAGGTCTCTCTAAATCTGGCAGGAAATTTTGAAGGGTGATCCATTCTGTTGACGTTTGGAGGGAAGCTGGATGGTATCTGGGAAACACTGGAATTGTCCCCGATTGTGGTGTGCAGGAGAAAACTAGAAAATGGGCCAGAAAGCTTGGCGTATGAAATTTACAGTTGTATAGATTTTGTGCGCAGAGATAGACAGACAGCTCTGAGATCTTGTAGTTTCTGCTCAGTAATGGCAGACTAGCATACCCAGTGATGAGTCCAGTCCCACACTGCTGGCATTTAGTACCTTTATCACATTTTTCCCTCCTTGACTTAGAATACTTGTTCTCAACAGAGGAGGGGAAGCCCAAGCAGGGATCTTGTCTCCAGAGGATACTGGGTAATGTCAAGAGATATTTTGACTGCCATGACTGAGGATTGTTTAGAGGACAGGAATGGTGTAAAAAGATGCTAGCAAGAATATGGGTCTTACATGGAGAGGACATGCAGCTGTAACAACATCTTTGCCCCAATTTCATCACTGTGGCAAATGTGAGCCTAAGAACACTCACGATGCTTGCCTTCAAATCACCAGGCTGGCATTCACAGCTTCTGCTTTATTTTATTTGGTATGCACTTGAACATGCCATGAATTAAGAAAAAAAATCAAAGTTTGTTTGGAGTTTGTTTCTGTGTTTGTTTCTTACAATAAAGGTAGTCTTCTCATAAATAAGGAGGTAGTGTGTCTGGCTGTTCAGCTAAATAATTAGTCTGGTTCATAGTTCCTCAAAACCCAGGATCATAACTATAGCCAGATTACTTGAAATAAGTAAATGGACTTTGAAACATACTGTTATTTTCAACATATCCTTAAAAGCAAATGCAATTAGGTTAATTGACCCTGAAAATATCATCAAAACATGCAATATTTGGTACAAGAACTGCCTGAGCTCAAATATAACTTCAGTACCCAGTGCGCAAATCACTTAATTTCTCTAAGCTTTACTATACTTCACAAACCAAGGGTAATGACATCAAGCTTGCAAGATTTTGAAGAGACTGGAGATGATGTACGTACATTAAGGGCCTGGCTAATGGATGCTCTATAAATTCTAGAAATTAGCAGAGAAATAGTTATTCCCATGGTTTTCAATCTGACCTTCTAATTTACTTTTATTCCACTGCACGAAGCATTGCTCAGTCAATGTTGTTTGTTTATGGGTTGTTCAAATACCTCCCAGGCTGCCTCGAGCTTCTCAGGCACGAGCATCTATTAGCAAATGTGTCATACTAAATAACTTGCCCTGAAGAGCAGGAACCTCAAGAGAAAGAAGAAAAAAAAAAGGCAACCTGAGCTGCCTTTTGTGGCATCTCCTTCCTAAGTATGATCACACAGGATGTGTCCTGAGCAACAGAAAAGTCTACAATGCTTTCCGCATTTCCTGCAGTGGCAGCTTCCTGACTTCCCTGTGTACTGACAGATAATGAATTAATAGTAGGCAGTCTCAAGCCTTTCACCTGCTCAGAGTGGGCATCCCACGCCCCACCCCGTCCCTAGATAAATGGTTATTTCTAAGACAGCCTGGGGACAGCTGTAATAACTCACCCAGAAATCGAGAAGCCCTCCGCTGAAGAGATAACTCAGGATTTGAAGGCATAACTGACCTACTCTGTATCTTGAGTCTCCTCAGAAGAGTAAAAACAGCCTGGATGAGGAAAGGGGTCCAGCTTGGTTCTGAAGACTCAACTCCCTGGCCTTATTATAGCAGTCAAGAGAGGCATGACCTCAGGAAAGTCACTTCTTTACCTGTGTGAACCTTGAGCTTTCCATCAGTAAAGTGGGATTGAGGAGACACGGTCTACCTCCATTAAAGGCACGCTTGAAAGAACAGGAATACTGGAAGCATTTGGACAAATACAAATGAAGGCTGCTAACTTTTATCACTGGTGTCACCCACCACAGCAAATAAGCCATGCAAACCTCAGCTGATGGTTAACTCCTTTTCTAGGCCTCCGTTTCTTTTCTTTTTCTTTTTTCCTTTTTTTTTTTTTTGGTGGTGGGGGGGCACAAACTACTGACACCTTCAGAACTGAAGAATTTCCCACCTATTCTGGTCCCTCTCTCCAAAAAGCAGATTTCACCTGCCCCACCCCACTTACAGCACTGGCATTAAATGCCCCACATTCACAAACATGGCAAGCCATGTCCACTGTCTGGGGCAGCTTGAGGTTTCAAACTGCCCTTCATCCTCCTGCCAGCAACGATGGCATGCAAATCAGTGGCTTCCACTATTTCAAAGCAAATGACTCTAACTGAAAAAGACCTTTACCTAGGCTTTTCCTCCACTTGTTATGTTTTTATGCATAGCTTCTTATCTCTACTTGATTATGCTGGAATAAGGCTATGAATATTGATGGTGGGAATTTATAATTTAGTGCTATGCCTTTTCTGCTGATTAATTCAAGGACATTTTATTTCTTAAGAAGCTAGTTTCCTGGAGTAGTCAAACATATTTCTCCTGGACACTCATTTTAACTTAGAATATTTATCTGCCAATTCAGGTCGAAAGCAGGGTCTCAGGCTCACCGAAATTTTTGTCTTGAAGGATAACTGTATTGAATGTTGTGGTGGCTAGACTTAAATTGCTCAGGAAAACTTATTTAGAAGGCTGCAGGAAAGCCAGAACTCCTTGTAAATTAATGGGGTTGTATTAAATAATGCATAATGTGATTATATTCTAGCCTGGACTTCACCTGGGCATAAAATGGGAGCCTTTCTAATTGATTTGTAGCTTGGCTAAAAAGCTGGAAGGGCCTGAAATTGGAATGATGAGTCACATGGCTCCAGCAGGCTCAGAGAAAGACAACTCCTTTAGAATAAATTCCTCTGGCTGCACAGAGCAGAGACCAGAAGGTTCTAGCTAAGGTTTCCTCCAAGGCTGCAAGACCCATTGATCTCCATTCAATCCCCAAAAAAGCCTTCGATTTTGGACTCACAGGAGACACACGGAATGAAATGCTCCTGTTCTAACAACCAAAAATAACTATGGGTTGGGGGGATAAAAAGAAGGGGGTCGTTTAGATTTAACTATATCCATCATTAAAGTAGGGTGAGAAAGTAAAAGATGGAAGGAACAAAGGCAGGAAGGAAAGTGAAGAATAGGGAAAAGAAGATTTCAGAAGTAAAAAAAACAAAACAAAACAAAAGGACCAGAAGAAGGAGGATGAGGAAAGGGCCATCTAAAGGTGAAAGAATACCAACAAGAACAGGGCAATAAAAAGAAGAAAAAGGAAGAGTGAGAAAGACTAGGAAGAATGGACAGGATGAAGGAGTAAGGCCAAGTGAATAGGAAACCAATGGAAACGAGAATGACTAAGAACTGAGGGAAGAGGGCTGGAGAGATGGCTCAGAGGTTAAGAGCACTGACTGTTCTTCCAGTTGACCTGAGTTCAATTCCCAGCAACCACATGGTGGTTCACAACCACCTTGAATGAGATCTGGTGCCTTCTGCATGCAGGCAGAAGACTGTATACATAATAAATAAATAAAATACTTAAAAAAAAGAACTGAGGGAAAACGTGACAGTGAAGAAGACAGACAAGAGCCAAAGAGGGAGGAGAGGAGGGAGGAGCAAACAAGTCAAATCCAGAAGGGTAAATGAAAGCCAAAGAGAAGAGGAAACCACAGGCAATCAAGGACCAGGACCGAGGGTTTCCCACTTTCCCACTGTGTCAGCACCAGAGGCCTGCAGTGACTTCTACACCGTGTGCTAAGCCTCCATCCCACTCTCTTCCCCGATTCTCACTCTCTACTAAGAGGAGCTCAGAGATCTATTATACATCAAGCTACTGTTGGAGAAGAATACACCTACCTTGGAAAATTCTTTCTCAAACTTCTGAGAAAGGGTGTGAGCTGTGAACTCCAAGCGCTCCACTCTGTCGGCAGGGAAGGTGGTGTCTGGCAGGGAAACAGAGCACTGGCAGGTCCCATGGCTGTCCACAGAGCCGGTGAAATTGGAAAGTGGCTGTAAATAGTAAAAAGGCAAGTGTCAGTGATAAGCTGGGAAATGAACCTTCTAGGCAACAGGAATGACAGAAATTGGGTTGGCAAATCAGTGACTAGAGGCAAACAAGTACTGTCCAACACATCAATGAACAGTGTCATATAGACAAGCCAACACTATCTCCACCTGTTGGCTAAGCCCCTGTCAGCAGCTTGGATCAAAAGCAAGGTTCTCCATGCTTGAGGAATCTTAAAGAAATTGCTCTATCTCGGTGCAAAGGAAGAGAAATAAAGAGGGGCCAAGAGCACTAAGTTTGAACATCTGTTCTCCATTTGCTGAATGTGACACCTTCTTAAGTCTATTTCCTCCCCTACGAAATTCAGATACCCTGACTGAAGTAAGCAAGCGATGTGTGCTGAGTCTCTGGCACGCCACAGGTGATTGGGTGCTGTCATTTCTCTTTCCTTCTACTAGTCTTCTCTCTCTCTTTCTCTCTCTCTCTCTCTCTCTCTCTCTCTCTCTCTCTCTCTCTCTCTCTCTCTCTCTCTCTCTCTCTCTCTCTCTCTCTCTCTCTCTCTCTCTCTCTCTCTCTCTCTCTCTAATCCTAGCCCAGTTCCTCCCAATTAGAATAAAGAAAACATGGAGGTTTGTGGGCCGTGGTAAAGATATCCAGTGAGAATTCAAATCCTCTCTTCAGCTGGGAAATTAAAACATTCACATTTTTCCAAATGGAAACAAGCCATCTATTTGCTCAAAAATTGAGCATATAAGTTTAGAGGTTTCTTGCAAATTTCTCAAATAGAAACTCTCTAGCTTACCACTTGCAAAAAAAATCGCTTTAAAATATTTGAAGTTTCTTTAAGATATTCAGGCTCACACTTCGATGCCACTGCATATTTTAGAATGACAGGTTTGAAAGATTCTGTTTTTCTTTTGTCCCCTTTGAACTACCCCAAGGGGATCCTGGCACAATTAACATTTTTTCATTACTGCTATTGCCTTGCAGAGTGAGTCTTGTCAGCCAACTGGCTGTGCCTTTTAATGATCTCATCTGAAGGCCAGCCCAAAGCTCACCTATGGAATATCAGCCCGAAGGGACTCTTTGTGACACTAAAGAGGAGAGAGCAGTTCTCTGAGCCTGGAGAGACTCCAGCCAAGCTTCAAAGTTCGCATCAGCTGGCAGCAGTTGAGTGAGTCTGCCTCACACACAAGCCACCTCTGCTGATCTCCATGACCCCTGAACAAACTTGGCACAGACGCACCTGTAATTGAGATTTACTCAGGCAGTGACCTCTGGGCCATTTAAGGCTCTTGCAAAGGGTGGTGGTTTTGGTGGTTTTTAAAGGAACCTAAGATTTTCTAAGATTATAAAAATGAAGTGTGTGTGTGTGTGTGTGTGTGTGTGTGTGTGTGTGTGTGTGTGTGTGTGCGCGCGCGCACATGGAAGATGTAGGAGCCAGAGGACAACCCCAAGTGTCATTCCTTGGGTAACATTCGCCTTTTTCTCTTGAGACAGTCTCTCATTGGCCTGGGACTTACAAAGTAGGCTAGGATGCTGGCCCATGAGTCTCACAGATCCTGCTCATCCTGCCTCTCCACTACAGGGCAACAACCTACACTACCACACTTGGCTTTTAAATTGCACGTTCTGGGGACTAAACTCAAGACCTTGTATCTGCAAGGATTTATCGGCTATGCTACCTTCCCAGCCCTCCATGCCAAGAGAAGTCTTGACACTGTACTTTCTTGTCCAAACAGATCCTTCCATCTGTAAGAATCAGGTAGTAAGGCATAGAAGCAAGCAGATTTATGCTTCACATGGGAGCAAGGTGTTAGAGTGGGGGTAAAGTAGGGTCTTGGCAAAAACTAAATAAAGGCTGGACAATATACACCAGAAACCTGTTGGAGAGGTTGGATTCTACTGGACTCAGATATATTACTCTATCTAAAGACAAAATACTCTACCACAGGTATGGCAAGTCTTTTACAGACTTTTTAAGAAATACCTTATTATAGCAACCATCTAGCAAAGAAAAAATTCTTGCATTGCATTGACAAGAGGAGGTTAATTAGCTTCACGAGACAGGGGGGACCATTCCTGGAGTTCTCCGAGAAGCTCTGTCAATTCTGGAAACAGCGGATATCATCAAGAAGTCTCTAGACAACCAACTAGGAACCACTAGCTAACAACTTTCAGTCCTGAAGTTCACCTGAAAGACAAGCAAATAATTATGAGCCCTGCTGACAGCCATTCCACTGGCTTCTACTGAACGTCTCTGTCCCAGTGCTGTAGAGTCCATCCTGCTTATCATCAGCCCAGCATGCTCAGCTGACATCAAAACGGTCCATAAGTTTGATCAGTGTCTCCCATTAGAGATATTTCTGCTCCTGGAATTCAAAGACAATGAAGCTAATGGTGATGAGTCTCTCTGCGGTGAAGGCGCAAACTACTTGAATGAAATGTGGAGAACGAGACACAAAGACAAGTGCTTGTCCCCTTGGCCTTTGGAGGGATGGATAATCCCCTTGTGGAGGGCAAGTAGAACCCATGTGCCCCACAAGAGTGACTAAATGGCTAAGTTCTCGCTTCATATATGTTCAATTAACATTTACGAAGGTCTGCAATACCCCATGCTCTGGAATTAGCAGCTGATTAAAACCAATTCTAGCCCAATCAGGCTCGCTTTTTTCCGAGCGCCCTAAGGACTTTTCCAACAGCCTCAGACCCTGATGACAGAAGCATACAGACCACTGTGGCTCTAACCCTGCCAGTGACTGTGAGGAGCCTCTGTTAGATGTACAAAAGGAAGTGGCCAAGTCTTTGGAGGCGTGCGCAGTGTTCTGAGCCCTCCAGCAGACGGTGCGACTCACATCTGTGATTTAAGGTCGCAATTGGTTCTAATTAGCAGCCAAGTCTAAGTGCCCACAAAGATTCACGACATAAAATAATGGTACTCAGAGTTCCTAAAGTACAGAAAATGATACGTTTGGAACTTGCTCAATGACAGTTATCAAAGGGTTTTCCACTACTTCCCAACAAGCTCATCAAGATGACAGTCAGCCCTAGAAAATTAGGTTTATGGTGGAATTGACACCTGGTCCACTATAAAAAGGAGGTTGGAGTGTGATACTGACTCACTCGCCACAGGCAGATAAGCAAACGACGAAAGAAATTGAATCCTCTGTAATTTAACTACTAGCTCTTACTTACTTTTAAATATGGGTCTTCTTACCAGACAGTGGGCACTTTAAATTCCTCTGTTTCTTCACTGATACTTTATTTTCTATTACTTCAGCTAAAGATGTTATATCCAAATGATGGCTTCGATGGGTAGTGAAGTTTTATAGCAAATTATTATTGCTAACCTCACTTTACAAAGAGAAAAAGACAACCAAACAGGTAACCCATTCTCATTAACCCCAGAATTTTTTTCATACAAAGTAAGAATAGATATGGGTTTTCTGATGACCAAGGAGCTGGTGTGTTGTGATTGTGATCCTCTGAACTTTGTCCTTTTAAAAGCAATTTTCACCTGTACCCCCAGAAATATAGAAAGCTGTGTCCAAAGAGATGGTTTCCACAAACAGGTTCCTTTGAAATGAATAAAAGCCTGAATGAAACAACCAAACTATGAGCAGACTAATCTGGGGAGATGTACCCTCTCAGTTTAGTGACTCTGCCATGGCCTTGCCTTGGCAAGCCTCAGATTTACCATCCCGAGAATGGGACCGCTACTTTTACTGAACTTGTAGGTTAAATAAGCTGTATATGTCCTAACCTGGCCTGGGCATTCATTAGGCATGCACTGAATATCTCTGATGTCATTGGCCTCTAGGCCCCGTGCAAGCCATTTGTGGATCACATTTTCATTGTCTATACATTTTAATGATGCTAATGTAAATGCTCGAAGAGACACCCCTTTTCCTATGCATCCTTCCACTCAGACAAGTTCATGAGAGTGGCTGGCTGAAGGATCTCTAAATGAAACGCCCCGTTGTTCTGAAGGAGGCGCTTTGATGGAGTTGGGGACCCTCAAGCACACGTCACACTACAGCAAGGCTAACCTGGGGGCTTTGCAAAGGAGCACTTCTGCAAAAAGGCCCGGAGGCAAAGTGGGCAGCAGTTTCCTGTCCCTCGCCCTGCAGCTTCTCCATGCCCCTTTTATTTAAGGAAAGCCAAAAGGCTCTGTGCAATATCTATACAGGCAATCTGTGCAATCTTTACAGGGAGCCTCTCCTGGGCCATCCCTGTAGTACATGGTACCTTTGTTGGTTCATTTCCCTGCTGCAATTGTTTGACACTGGAAGTAGCCCAAGCAATTCCTTATGAAAAAGATTGAGAAGAGTTAGCATTCCCTTGGGAAATTTCCACTTGCAGTGGCATTTTCCTAAGACTAATAGTTCCTCTCCTTTTAACCCATGTTCTCTCTATGTGTGTACGTGTGTGTGTATGTGTGTGTGTGTGTGCTTGTGTGAGTGTGTGCTCATGCACGTATGTGGGGAGGTAGCGGATGCCTTTCTCTACTATTTGCCACCTTATTTTTCTTGAGATGAGATCTGTTACTGAACCTAGAGACCACCAAAAAGCTAGAATGGTTGACAAGTTAGCCCAGGGACCCTCCTGTCCCTGCCTCCTCCAATCAGTGATGGAGTTGCAGATGGGTGCTACCTTGCCTGACTTCTTACATGGGTGGTAGTGATACAGACACCAGTATATGTTAGTGTGAAGGACCCTTCACTACACAAGCATTTTACTGACCTTACCACGTCCTTACTCCCGTTAGCCTCATAAACTAGGTAGACAGGAACTACCAGGGCTCCAGCTGTTGTATGGAGACTCTCACTCCCTCAGAGTGTATTATTTACCCCCAAAAGGCTCCCTCTGGGCAGCAAATCAGGTGAATAAACTTTGCAAGAGCAGCTTCTCTGGGATCTCTATCCTAAAAGCTCCCATCCCAGACTACATATTAGAACAAGTAGACTTTTTAAATGCCTGAGTTGTAAACACCAGCACAGGCTAGAACCAAAGCATCTGGACTTTTAGGATTCTCCACACCACTGATCCTACTGGTCAACCTGGGTTGAGAATCTCTTTAGAACATGCCTTCCCCCAAGTGCATTAGTAGAAATCTGGGATGTTCTCTCTCCTGCTAACAATTTAATTACTTCATCCAGGTTTTAATTCATTTCCAAGGCTTCTATAGTAAACAGAAAGGGTCATAAATCCTTTAAAGTGCTCGGGTCTAGTCATCCATGAAATTGTATTCAGGTCCCCCCCGCCCAAAAAAAAAAAAAAAAAAAAACGAGAGGAAGAGAATTGAACATAGCTTACCCAGAATCCCTCACCTGTGACACAGTACTAACTTCTTCCCAAGATGTGGCTTCTGGAGGTAACAGGGGAGTTGTCACCTGGGGTGATACTGGAGCCAACTCCAGGGAAGAGGTGGAGGTCAGGGTCTCTGAAGTCCCGGAGACAGAGACAAGGCAGAGAAAAGGGGCCAGCAGAAAAGCAAGGCTGTAACTCATCTTGCCTTTTTGGTACAATGCTGGCTTCTTCCTACAACCCAGGCTTCTTATAGTGCCCAGTGGGGATTTCCCCATGGCCAGTATGTGAAGAAAGAGGAAACAGCCGGGGAACATGTGACCCACCCTAGGACAGTAAAAACCGTCTGCAACTGAGTCCTGTCCATGCCATACCACAGAGTCCCACTCTGTGACCTGTCCTTAGATACAGATCTACCCCCCCCAGCCCGACAAATATTAACTCACACAAGTTTCCTCAAGCCAATATCTGGTTTCCAACTTGATACTTCCTTGAAGGAGATGGAATCAAAGTAGCCTTTGTGGATGAGACAGTTTGGAGGCTCCAAGATTAAAAAAAAAAAAAGCAACCCTTGGCCTTCTGCCTAGAAATGACTTCCGTGTTTTCACTCCCATTTTCTTGAATTCAGAGAGAGAGAGAGAGAGACAGAGAGACAGAGAGAGAGAGAGACAGAGAGAGAGACAGAGACAGACAGACAGAGACAGAGACAGAGACAGAGACAGAGACAGAGGTGAGCTCACTTTGGAGACTGCAGCTCTCCTCTAAGAGGTCTGAAGCCTTCTTCTTCAAAACCTGCTGCCCAGGTTGGCACTGGCATGTCCCTTGCCTTGTCTGTTCATATACCAAATTCTTTTAACAACAACACCAACACCAAGAATTTGTTTTACAGAAGTCCACGCAGAACTCTGCACTCTGTGCTTCTGAAGGAAAAGAAAGAACCCAGCCAAATAAGGGACTCAGATAACCCACTGATTATTCCTCTAGATTAGGGTATTGCTCCCAACCCAAGCAAAGAAGCCCAGTGGACGTGATTCTCTGACCTCCATTGCCTTTTGTGCTGTGTGTGCTAGCCAGGTATTCAGGACTCACAGCTCACTCTTCACATTGGTGCCTTCTCTGTCAGCCAGCTGACCTGGCCCTGAGCTCCCAGCTCCCTTTGCATCTCTCCAGCATCACATGTACCTCTGTGACCTCAGCTTTCCTCCCTGCAGAAGGAAAACTGTATTGACCTTAATAGTAAAACCTAGTTCTGTCATTCAGGAGCTGGCGACCTTGGGCATGTCACTTAGCCTCTCTGAAGTTGCAACAATCCCTAAATTAGTATAACTCAGTGGAGTGGTATTTAGAAAGTTGCTTATATGTCTTAAAGTGCTAAACAAATGTCAAGGCCCTTCTGGTTTTGTGTTTAATTCCCCAAAGCCTGGATCATTATGTAAGGCTATTGAGTCTAAAGCAGAAAAATCAGGCAGAGTCTATACTCTGCCTTAGCCCTTCTTAGGAGCATTTTGAAGACCTGGTTTGCAGGGTTCTTCCATGGCTTAACCTGGTGAGCTTTATGGACTCTCTAGATCATCATAGTGCTAGTTCAAGAAACCAAGTCTTAAACCCTTTCTTGGTCCATGACTCACACCCTCAAGAGAATGGAAAGTAGAGAGATGAGAAAGTAAAGCCAGAAAGGGCAATATAAGAGCTAGTCTGATTCTTTTAACTACCCCAAATTCCCCTTGAACTGTTCCCCTGATCCAGAGCTCTACACTGTCCCTGACTCAAGAGGACTGAATGAACACACCACTCAGACCAGTATCCACAATCTCAGAGTCCACTCATCAATCAGGCTGATGGTGCTGCCTCCATCCACTATCCATACTGACACTTGTCAAGTCACCTAGAAATCTACTCAGGTCAATAATATGCCTGTTGCATGGGAAATAGCATTGGAAGCAGCTAGGAAATCTAGTAGGGACTAGATGCCAGAGGCCAGAGCTTTTTAGAAACATCAGCCACCTAACATCAATCCAAAGGAAATCTTTGGTGAAGATCAAGGTCTTCACCTTGATCTAGTTTAGCTGTTCAAAGAGTAAGAAATGTGTTTTTAAGCTCATATCTCTCTTATTGTTCCTTATATGCAATTCCATGTTTAAAGTTCAATAAGCAACAATTTAGTTTTAACCTAAGTAGGCACTGTGCCTATTTGGGATACATTTAAAATAAAATAAAATAAATATTGTCAGTTTAATATTCAAATTGAACTAGATATCCTATTGGTTTTTTTTCCTGGAGCTGTTTAAGCAGGATGTAGACTGTGAAATTCCTTATTCCCTGTTGGAAGTAACTCAGCCTTGGCCTTTTTGACAAAATTTTCTAGTCTTTTCAATGCTTAACTCAAGACACAGAAAGCATAGGACATTTGTGAGAAAGAAAACTGAAGCACTGAATTCATTATACTAACATTGAAGGCTATAGATGTGGATGTAGAAAAGAGAGCATTCCTCTACCTTCCCTCTCTTCCCCTCTTCCTCCTGACTCCCACCAAAACAAAGGGTAAAATCTGTTCTCATTTGTTGATAGCCTCCGCCTGTGGCTATAATGAGCCTTCCTTACCCTGTTTCAAAAAGCATGTTGGGTCCTTTGTTGGGGGGGGGATATCTCATTAGCAATGGTTGCATGTTGTCATGGCTACCTTTGAAGGCTTCTAAGGTGAGCCCTCTAGAAGACCCCTTACCAGAGGGGTTGTAACCTACAGAACACAGGCAGAAGTTCTCCCCAGCAGAGGGGTGACTTAGTCAAGAGAACCAGCACTCCATTGTGTTAGAAGCTGCTTTGCTCCTGGATGCCTCCATGTTTTCAAACTTAGTAACCTCAAATACACAAAAGCAGTGGTGATGCCTCTACAAGGAGATTATCAGCAATAATAGTTTGATCAGTTCCGCTGCAAACACCTTTGCTGTAAGAAACAACAAGCCTCTTATTTGACAGCCTCAAAAATACAAGAAAATTATCAGGGCTGTAAAGCAAGCATTGTTTTATTTATAAAAATGTAGCCCAACATGGACTTCTCTAATAGTGAGGAAGTCACTGAAATTCTCTTCAGTAATACTGGGTTGACAGCATGGAAGTTGGTATTTATGCACTTCTTGGGTAACTCACCAAAGCCATGCTTCCTGAGAAGACGCAGCACACAAGAAAGATCTGAATTGATATCACCTTATTTAATTTAATCCTTCCATCATAAAAAAAGTTAGATACATTTTCACAAAATTTCAGAAAACAGTGCTTGTAGAGTATACAATACATGCAAAGACAATAGAGACAAGGTTTGGTCTACAAATTGACAATACAAGCTGTGTTTAAATGACCCTTTCACATTGGTTGTTTACAACCCTAGAAATCATCAAAAAAATTAGCAATATCAATAAGCAAGTGCAAAAGTACAAATCAATTGACAGCATTTACTCATTTTAAAAATCAGCCCTTTGTTAATAAGTGTACTAGAGCCTAGCCCATGGAGAATAGCATGCCCTACCATAAGTTCTAAAGGAAGAAGAAACTACTGCAATCCCAGCAGTGGAGACAGATGAATCTCTAGAGCTTACTGGCCATCCTGCCTTGCCTACTTGGAGAACTTTAGGCAAATGAGAGACCCTGCCTCAAAGTAAGAGATGGACAGCACCTGAGGAATGATACCATAGATTGACCTCTAGTTTGCACATGTATGAACACACACACACACCACACACACCCCCCACACACACACGGAAAGAAAAGGAGAAGAAAAGAAACAAAGAAAACCAGAAAGAAACAAAGAAAATAAGGAAAATGCACATTTGCTAAAGAAAATGTTTTGTCATTTTCAACGGCAGGCCCTTTCAAGGACTAAACAAGTTGAACACAAGCCCAATTGCATAACGCCAGAAGAAGTTTTAGACAGACACAGGTAGGTTAACTGGGAAGAACTAACCACATGGTGAATGTCTGGAGAAAGAAGATCATATCATGAATCTGTACACTGAGGAGAATACTAATGAATGAATGAATGAGTCAACTTAATAAGAGTTATGAAGAAAATTCATAAATAACTACTGGAGAAAGCACAAATTGTTTAAATTAGTGTTGAAGAAAGGGGAGTGAATACTATGCAAGAAAAACCACATGAACAGCAGTAGTGCCACCTGAATGCTCTAGGCCAGGATTATTACCCATGCCCTTGAAGTCTTGCGTAGTCAGTCCTTAGAACTCATCCTTGGATCAAACTCATCATTGAGTTCCTGATCTTCAGTCTGAATCAGACCCCCCAAATCAACATCTCTAGGAACTACGTAGACTTAGCCAAGTCATCATGATGTAGAACACGTTAACACCAGATTATAGATTTCAACCAAATTCTTACACTCTGGGTTGTAGAAATATCACAAAATATTGACAGAACACAGAACTAAACTAATTTTAAAAAGCAATAATGGAATCCAGTGCAAACTTCTGCTCAAATGGCAAAGGAGAATAGGGATGTTGAATGGTAAAAATATTATTCTTTCAGGGAAAGTGGAATGTTACATCCTCCATAGAGATATTTCAGACTAATGAGATATGATGGTGTTCAGGAGAATTTCTTCTGTCATGAAAAAACCCCTATCACCTCCAAGGATTCTCTAAAGAGGCACCACATCTCCATACCACAAAATGGGCTCTGCCCAGACATCTGGAACCAAGAATCTGAAATTCCTCTTGCCATCTTCAGAGTGCATTGAGAAACTCCATCACTTTCGTTCCTCTATATTCCAAAGTTTTACATGTATTTTGAATACTATGGATTGTTTTATTTTCAAATACAAGGTAGGTTGGCTTCTCCAATAAGAAGTAAAATGTTTTCTACTCTTAATTATTTGACCCATTGTTAAAGTTCTGCTTGCTTCACATCCAAGTCAGCTGAGTTCTTAGCAAGACCTGCTTTCTTCATAGCTGATTGCTATGCCCAACCATGTGCACTCTCACTGTGAGAAAGACACAAATTCTTGATGGATCTATGTGATGTTGCCACAAAGAGATGAAGGCTCCAAACTAAAGTTTCTTTACAAGTGTTAAATACCATGGAAGTTATCTCTAAAAAGACTCAAAATGACATCAGACATTTTCCTTTGTCTCAAAAAACTTGTAAGAAAAAAATGGAAAATGTACCAATGATATAGGAGAGCAAGTAAATGTACCAGGTTAAGAATTATTTCTCCAAAAGCACTCACATGCAATTTAGTTGATTCCCACATTCTTAAACATGAAGAGATTTCACACAAACGTCT